GAGAAGAGTGTGTGTTCTGCTGTTTTGGGATGGAATGTCCTATATGTATATCTAATAAATCCACATAGTCTAGCATATTGTTTAAGGCTGATATTTCCTTAATGATTTTCTATCTTGATGATCTATCCATTGATGTAAGTGGGGTTTAGTTAAAGTCCCTTACTACTATTTCATTGCCATTAATTTCTCCTTCTAGATCTGTTAATATTTGTTTTATATATTTTGGTGCTCCTATGTTTGGTTCGTATACACTTGTAGATGTTATATCTCCTTTCTGGATTGACTCTTTATCATTATATAGTGCCTTCTTTGTCTTTTGTTACTGTCTTTGTTTTAAAGTGTATTCTGTCTGATCTGAATACAGCTATACCAGCTTTCTTTTCATTTCTATTTGCATGGGATCTCTTTTTCCGTCCCTTCACTGTCAGTCTGTGTCCTTACTTCTGAAGTGGGTCTCTGTAGGCAGCACATAGATAGGTCTTTTTTTTTTTTTTTAAATCCATTCGGCCACCTTTATCTTTGATTAGATAATTTAGTCCACTTAAATTTAAAGTAGTTTTTGATGGGTATGTACTCAGTGCCATTTTGTTAATTGTTTTTTGGCTGCTTTCATAGTTCCCTTCTGTTCCTTTCTTCTTCTCTTTCTCTCATTCCTTCTGGTTTGATTACTTTCTTCAGTGTTATGTTTTGATTCCTTGCTCATTTTTTTTTGAGTGTTTACTATAAGTTTTTGCTTTGTTGTTACTGCAGCTTCACTTTATCATTTTATATATTTAACTATTTTAATTTGATAGAAACTTAAATTTCAATACACTCCAAAATTCTACAGTTTTATTACTTTCCCCCACATTTTATGTTTTTGATGTCACATTTTACATCTTTTTATATCCCTTAACTGATTATTATCATTTTAGTTAATTTTATCACCTTTACCTTTACTACCTTCATAGTAGTTTTAGTAGTTTGATAAGTGATTAATCCATTCCCTTTACTATATATTTTTATTTTTCTGTGCTTTCTTGCTATTAATTAGTGCCATTTCTTTTCAGCATAAAGAAGTTCTTTTAACATTTCTTGTAAAGCTGGTTTAGTAGAGATGAACTCCTTTAGCTTTTACTAACCTGAAAAACTATTTATCTCTCTTTCAGTTCTGAATAGTAACTTTGCTGGATAGAGTATTCTTGGTTGAAAGTATTTTTTCCTTTTAGCACTTTGAATATATTGTGCCACTCACTTCTGGCCTGCAAGATTTCTGCTGGAAAATCAGCTGATAACTTTATGGAATTTTCCCTTATCTGTAACAATTTTTTTCTCTTGTTGCTCTTAAGATTCTCTCTTTATCTTTAACCTTTGACATTTTAATTATAATGTGTCCTGACGTGAATATCTTGGGTTCATTTTATTTGGAACTCGGGGCTTCCTGGCCCTGGATGTCTGTTTCCTTCCCCAGGTTAGGCAAATTTTCAGCCATTATTTCTTCAAATAAGTTTTGTCTCCCTTTTTCTCTCTCTTCTCCTTTGGGGCCCCCACAATGCAAATTTTATTCCACTTGAGGATGTCCCATATATCCCTTAAGTTATCTTCATTAAATTTTTTTTTCTTTTTGCTGCTCTGTCTGATTTTCATTACTTTGTCTTCCAGCTTGCTGATCTGTTTCACTTCTTCCAGTCTGCTGTTGAACTCTTCCTGTGTATTTTTTCGGTTCAGTTATTGTAATTCTTCAGCTCTGTGACCTCTGTTTGGTACTTTCTTATGTTGTCAGTATCTTTATTAAAGTTTTCACTGTGTTCATCCATTCCCCTCATGATTTCAGTAAGCATCTTTAGGACCATTACTTTGAATCCCTTATCAGGTAGATCACTTATCTCCATATCATCAAGGTCTTTTCTGAGGTTTTTGTCTTTCATTTGGAACATATTTCTCTGTTTCTTCATTTTGCTTGACTCTCTCTGTTTGTTTCTATGAGGCAAACAGCTACCTCTCCTAGTCTTGAAGAAGTGGTCTTATGTAGGTGATGGACCTTATTCAACTTTGCCCTACCTCTTGGTTGTGTCACAAAGCTTTTTGATCATCCAAACCACCTGATTTATTATTGATATGCCCCTGTTGCTGAGGGTGCACCAAGACCAGTCAGTGTTCCAAGGGGGAGGAATCTCATTTAGTACCTAGTTTTAGGTTGATTGGAATCTAGAACCTCAGGCAACAGTTTTTATGCAAATACATACAGTCCTGTATAGCCCCAGTCATAATCCCTGCTGTCCTCCAGGCTAGGAAGTCTCTCCAGATCGCAAAAGTTGGGGCTCCAGACAAATATATAAACTCCTTTCCAGGAGGTCTTGTTGAGCTATAACAAGGCCAAGGGTTTGTGGAAGGATGGTGTCTTCCTGCTTACATTCCCTTTGAGTGTCTCCTCAACCTCTCGATGTGTGGGAAACCTAAAGCCTGTCCCTCTGGCAGAAGCTCCAACCTAAGTAAATAGGCCTTTTTCATGGGAAGACTGGGGTTGTGTTTCAGTCTGCTGTCTGTGCAGTGTCCTGGGGGTGGTGGCCTGCCAAGAAATGTCTTTCCAACTGTTACATTCCTGTGGAGCTCAGGAATGCCAGTCCCCTTGGCCACCAGCATGAGCCAATCAAGGGGCATCCCCATGTAGATTGCCTGTGCCTGCTGGCTTTAACTAGGCAGTTGGAGAGTGTATAAGAGGGGCATACTTGCCAACTTCAGAAAAGCAGCCAGAAAATATTTTAACTGCATGCTCCCATGGGCTTCAGGACTGCAGCAAGTGAGTGTCTTATTTGAGTGTATGCACCAGCTGTAGACTGGAGTAGAAGAATGTTTCCATCTTTTGCACTCGCCAGCCCCAGCCAAGGAAAGGGAGTGTCACAGCCACCCATGCTTGCTGACCTTACCTAGGGAGCAGGTGAATGCCACATTCATGCTCATCTGCCCCAGCCAGGGAGCAGGGGAGTGCCACAACCACCCATGCTTTCCAACTTCAACAAGGTAGTGGGATAGTACTGACTACTCACTCTCCCCTGCCTGTCTTAGTAAGGTGGCAGGAGGATGCTTTGTCCAAGCTTGCTCACCTGTGCAAGCAGGGTAGGTAGAAAGTGCAAAACTGGCATCCACCAGCAACTCCATCTCTGGGAAGAGTTTCAACTGTCCCCTGACCCTTCCAGTTGATACTTTAAGATTAGCAAATGAATCTTCCTCACATACAATCTAGGCATTTTTCAAAGTGCTGGGGTTTTTTGTTTGTTTGTTTGTTTGTTTGCTTGGCTGGGCCTTGGGATAAGACTATATTGGAAGCCCTTTAGTAGTGAATCTCACTTTCTTATAGCATTTTGGGTCACTAGATGTCAGCCCCGTTGGTTTTCTTTTCTTTTTCTTTTTCTTTTTTTTTTTTTGCCCCATTGGTATTCTAAGCCAGATGTGAGGCACCAACCCCTCACTCCTTATTTGTGAGAGCCCTCCCTATTGCATGTCACTGTGCTGAGGGTGAGGTTTTTGGCAAGACTGTGTCTCTCCTACCTATCTTGATGTGGCCTTTTTTCCTTTGTTGTGGAGAAGCAACTTATCTAGTTTTCGGATCTTTTTCAGAGGGAAATAATCCATATATAGATGTAGATTTGGTGCTGCCATGGGAGGAGGTGAATTCAGGATTTTCCTCTGCCACCATCGTGCAGAAGTCCTCTTTCCAAGGTAGTTAAGTAGCTCATGCAGCAGCAAGCATTGATAGACACCACTGAGCAGGGAAGAGTTAACACAGTGAGCCCGATTTTGAGAAGAGTATGCTTGCAGGGCTAGCACTTGGCCATCGTCTGGGAATTTGGTTTTTGAATGTCTCCTCCATTACTAATTGAAAAGGTTGTTCTGTGCCTGGACTGTTTACACAAACATTGTGATATATGGTGAACATCTGCTTTCCTTCTGGGAGTCTGGAGTTTTGGCAGTAGTGTCTAGGCAGGGAGGGACAACCAGACCAGCCCCCAGTAAAACTGCTGAACTTGGAATCTCCAACAGGGTTCCCTGAATGGAAACACAGCATATGAGTGACTGCACTTCACCACTGGAGGGGATGCACATTCTGTATGACCCTTTTGGTGAGAACATAGGAAGCCTGCACATGGATTTCTCCAGATTCCACCTGATGTGTCTTTTTCTATATTGATCTGGCTGTGAATCCTTGTTGTGTTGCTGTCATAAATCTTAGACATGAGTACAACTGGATGTTGAGTCCCATGAGTCCTTCCAATGAAGTACCAGTCATGTGAGTGATCATGGGAGTGCTGACAGAGGTGGTGTCAGAAGTGATGACCAAACATCTGCTTAGAGCTGGCAGAACTCTTTCCTCTCTTTTATACTCCTGACTGTTAGATAGATAGTGTGATTCTTCTAAAATAAATTACAGGACCAAATTGAAGACTGATGAAATAAGTAAGCAATCATATTTAAAATGGAACAAAGCATACAAAAAATCTGGAGGTGGACAGCATTCATTTCTCACAGGTAGTTTTAAACAAAAATCTACCATGTCTTACATATTAATCATTTCTAAAATGAAAAATGAATGTTAAGTGGCCTCACTTGTGAAGGATTGCTGCTTTTTCTGTCCAAATATAATTTACATTTTTAAAGTATGAGCTTTTTCTCTACTTTTGAGACCTACCTCTCCTGAAGATAACAGGTTGTTAAGATATTCTAGAAATGCCTCATCTTTTATTTCATTGTCTGTAAAGATGAAGGTGATACCTTTTCCATCAGCACCAGCAACTTTGTACAGACCTTTTAAGTCATCTGTTAGATTATTCACATTATAAGACCTAAAAAGGATGGTAGGAAATTTAAAATTTATAAATATATGTAGTCATAATTTGTCTCAGAAGACAATATAACCCATGTTAATTAGAGCATACTCTGCACCTGCCCCAAGAGATATTAAGTAAGAGTGCCTGCTAAAAAACACAGAGGTTAGAGTGAAATAGTTACGTTACTGTTCAAAGCAAGTATGTTTTATTTAATGTGAGAAGTGAGAAATGGAAATTCACCAGAAGTGACTCATGAAGAGTAATTAGAAATTCAGAAATGAACTTTTATTCTCAGCAAGCTGACAGTCTTCCACAACAGATTTTGCCCAAGTGAATATACGTATAATATTTAAAACTAATCTGAAACTTGGATGAGTTTGGATTGGTAAGAAAGTCAAGATAAATTATAAATAAAATTAGCAATAAATTATATATAGTGGTAATTTGTGTATCTCATTAAGTGGCTAAATACAGAGACAGCCTACAGAAGAACATGCACTATGCAATGTGATATAAATAATTGAAATGTTATAATTATGTAGTTACAGCTTATGACAAGAAGATCATGGTCTTTGCTTTTCTGTTTACTGTGTTTCCTACTAAATATATATGCTCCTGGAGATGATGTGATGTGCAGAAATAAAGCAGACATTTTCTGAAGTGTTGTGTATAAATCCTCATGAGTAAATTGACAACACAGACATCCTCACTTGAAAGAGGTTGTATGGTGCAAGTCATAGGGAGTTGTCTGTAAGCCACAGGCATTAGAACCAGAAGGACCTGTGTTCAAATCCCCATTCTGCAGCTTTGGAAATGTTCCTTTACATTCCTCAGCTTCTGTTTCCTCCTCTGCAAAATGAAGATAATATCTGTTTGTAAAAGCTGCAGTGGGCATTAGAGATGACTCGGTTTAAGGGCACTCAAATGAATAAATAGCTGATTTTAATCTAGGAGGACCAGTTATCCCCTTCTGAGTGGCACTACCGTAAAATGTCTTGTAGACTTGGGCAAAAGGAACTCCATTGAAGGGAAAATATACATGCCTTTCAAAATAATTGCCAAAGGGGTCATTCGTTAGAAGGAGAAACTGGTAAGATTTGCTGAGATGTAGTTTGGTTTCTGGAAACCACTCTGGATTTCCTCCTCTTTGCCTTGCCTCTACTTCTCACTCTCTTGCAAGCAAGTCCCCTTCCTCTATGTTGGCAGACCCCAGCATTCTTCCCTTAGCCATCTTTTCTTCTCGCTATGTGCCCTACTCATGCTCCTTGTTACCTTAAAATTGTTCTCTCCACTGAGACTTCTGTGCTGACATCTCCAGGAGCCAGCCACTCCTGAACTCCACACCCATGAGTCTAATGAACTACGGAAACTGTGTGTTCTGCAAACATCTCACTCTCTGCATGTACTGGACTGAATTCTCATTTTACCCACCACCCCCCTCTTAAAACTGGTCATTTGTTTATTTGTTCAACACGTATTTTTATGTGTTGGTTAAAAGAACCCACTTGATAGTAATGGTAGATAGGACAAAGGTTACGATGGTCCATCCTCAGGTTGCTTACAGCCTAGTGAAGGAGACAGAGAAGTGAACAAGCATTTTTACAGTGCAGTGTGATAAATACCACTAGAGAAACTAGGTGTGTCATTCTAGACTTTCTTCTTTCCTCTTCACCCGATATCCGATCAGTTGCTAAGTCCTATCAATATACTAGGGACTATAAAGTCCTACTTTAAATTGTCCCCTCTGACTTCTCTCTCCTTCCCTTCACCTTCCCTGCTGCTTTAAAATGTTTCCAGGAAGCTTTTTAGTCAGGTATGGTAAGACACACAGACATGGACAGGACTGTCATGAAGGAAGAAGCCTATACTCACAGATCCCGAGAAACAGGAGGGGATATGACACACCACATAGGGCTGCATGGGGAAGCTTCAGCGTCAGTCAGGATGTGGAAGGAGTGACAGCAACCCAGGGCAACAGCCTTTACTGTGGTTTCCATGAGAAAGGCAAAGGTAGGCAGGCTAAGCAGATTTAGGATTGGCTTGTTTGAATAATTTCAACGGGCCCCAGGGCATAGATGCTGTCCCTAGTTACTGGTCCTTGGCTCTTGGGTGATTAGAGCAGAGCAATATTGCTTCCTGGTGGAGAAAGCCAGATAGACGTGGTGGTTCAGAGTATGAGCTCTGGAGTGGTTGGTTTACCTATGAAAGGCACACTATTGGAGCAAGCCATTAGCTGTCTCTAAGAACTGGCTTGCCCTGGGAGGGGCAGTCAATAGGACCCCAGTGCCAGAGCATCAAGAATACAGAAAACAAGAAAATACTGTTAACACTCTGGTAAACTGGAGGACTGTATGTCCCATCTAAGGAGGCATGTTGCTTAGGTCCAGGCACCTGGGAACATAGGCACAGTGTTGCCAGATCTTCCAACTGTGTCAAGAGAAGTCAGAAATCCTTTTTGTGTGTGTGTGTGTGTGAAACCTCCCAATTTTTAAAGGTTGACAACTGATTAATTAACCTCTAGATATTTGATGCTTCATATTTTTTTAACTGCTCTTGTAATTTGTACCCTGTTAAATTTTTTATCTATGTAGTGTGTATAAATTGTTAATTTAAAAAGTGACCTAAAATTTATGAGGAACTACAAAAGGCCAAATATTCAAGACAGTTCTGAAGAAGAACAACAAAGTTGTTCAAGATATATTAAAACTACAGTGGGCGCCTGGGTGGCTCAGATGGTTAAGCGTCTGCCTTCAGCTCGGGTCATGATCCCAGGGCCCCGGGATCGAGTTCCGCATCGGGCTCCCTGCTAGGTGGGGAGCCTGCTTCTCCCTCTGCCTCTGCCTCTCTCTCTCTCTCTCTCTCTGACTTTCATGAATAAATAAATAAAACATTAAAAAAAAAAACTACAGTAATTAAGACAGTTGGTAATAGTACAAAGATAATTAAATTAGTGGAACAGACTATAATCACAGACATCATCAGTTGATTGATGGGGAAGAAATGACACTGTAATGTGTCAGGAAAAACATGACCTTTTCAATAATGGAGTTGGAGTGATTGGATATCTATATTGAAAAATACAATCTTAACTCCTACCTCAGATTTTAGAAGAAAATAAATTCTAGATGGGTTATAATTCTATATGTAAAAAAAGTACATTTTATTTGCAAATGCAAATGAAATCACAGGAGAATATCTTCATAGGTAAACAAAGGTAAACAAATATTTTTTAACAGAATACAAAGAGCACTAAAATTAAAAAAAATTGATAACTTAAGATGGCTAATTGAACATAATAAAAAAATGTAGCCTAGACATAAAAATAATAATAAAATAAAATAAAAGATCCACCAAGGGGCACATGGGTGGCTCAGTTGGTTAAGCATCTGCCTTTGACTCAGGTCATTATCTCAGGGTCCTGGGATCAAGTTCTGAGTGGGGGTTCCCTGCTCAGTGGAGAGTCTGCTTCTCCCTCTCCCTCTGCCCCTCCCCACTACTCATGCGTGCATGCTCAC